GGGAGAATAGACCAGAAGTTTTAGTTGCAGTAAGAGTTTTCCTCCGGCAATTCTCAAAACAAATAAGTCAAATAAGTGCTGGAGATTCGAGGTGTCAAGAGAGAGTCAAATACAAACAGGTCAGATACGTTCTAAGCAAGAGTTTTCCGGCAATCTTAACATAAATAAGGCAGATAAGTGCTGAAGATTTGAGGTCATAAGAGAGAGTAAAATACAAACAAAAGATGTTATAGTTTTAGTAAGAGTTTTATGGCACTTGCAACACAATAAGGTAATATTCATACAAGTGCCGAAGATTAGAGGTGTTACAAGGGAGTAACAAACACAAAAAATAAGGAAGGGAGATAGAGAAGATAGATTTTTTTATAGGAAAGAAGGAGCAAACCATATCAGACAACTGCCAACAACCCACACAAGCGATTTTAGTTTTAGTTAGAATTTTTCTGCATTCTCAACACAAATGGGTCAGATAAGTGCTGAAGATTCGAGGTGTTATGACAGTGTAAAATACAAAGAAAACACGGGGAAGAGTTCAAGACAACAGATGTTTGATAGCAAAGTTGTGCTCTCTCTCTCTCTCTCACTCTCTCTCTCACACACATACACACATAAACACAATGACAACATTCAGTCCATCCTGCCTTACTCCACAACAATAACAATATCAACAATATTAACACCGCTCTCTGCCTCTACCACATACAACAACAACAATAACAACGACACCATCAACAACAACAACGACTACTCACTCTCTCCTGAGTCGTTCAATCTCCTGCTGTGTTCTAAGTGGCATGTTGAGAGACTCGTTGGCCAGGCGGTATGCCTCGCGGGACGTCTCTAGGGCCTTGTTGGCCAGATCCTCGATCATCTGGGCCTCTTCTTTTTGCCTGGGGAAATAGTCTTTGTTGTAGTAACTGTTTTACGGCACTTGCAAACACATTAAGGTTATTTAAGTGCCAAAGATTTTTAAAGTTTTAATTTAGTAATGTTTTATAGCCCTCGCAACTGCATAAGGTCATTTGAACGCCAAGGGGTGGATGTAAACAGAAAAGTCCAAACGGGGAATCAGACTTACTCTGCTCACCTCCCTAGCCTCAACAGCACAAAGTCTGCTTCAACTATCAAAGCACCCCGAAACACAAGAGCTCTGTTTAGGGAACATTTTTCATAAGAAAAAAAAGCTCTTAAAAATCACAAGAGAAGCCAAATGCGGAGGTATAACAAACGAATCATAAGTAGAGGCAGACAAGTGAGACATTTACAGGAAAGGGGAAAGTGCTGCTATCTTCAGCAAGTTGTGGCGTTTGAGATCATTACAAGTTGTGGCGTTTGAGATCATTACAAGTTGTGGCGTTTGAGATCATTATAAGTTGTGGCATTTAAGATCATTACAAGTTGTGGCGTTTGAGATCATTACAAGTTGTGGCATTTAAGATCATTACAAGTTGTGGCGTTTGAGATCATTACAAGTTGTGGCGTTTGAGATCA